GGTTATCATGGCCATTTTATATCTGTAATTAAGATAACAAGTAGAAGAACTGCTACCTAGTCTGAGTCAGTTAGTAGATGTTGGAAATACTGGGTCTCAGAGAGCCATGTCTTCATTATGTTTGTTGGGGAAGATTATGAAAATTTAACCATCAGAAAAGAAATGCAAATCTTTTTGATAATTCCCCATTTCCATCATTCTTAGTGTGAGAATTCTAATAATCAGTTAAAGCTAGGTGTCAGCAGAACACTTAAAAATTGATGACTAAAAGTATGTGAAAATTACTTAAAGCCATGTTACTGTTCATAGACACTGGGTTCAGTGAAATGACCGCTTGAAGAGCAGCCTACAGAACAGGATTCCAGACCTTATTCTGAGTCCAAGCACCTATGTAGCATTTGCCTAGTTGTGTGCCCTGCTAGGATCTTGACTGTACCCTAGAGATTCTTCCCAGGTCTGGAATGGTTTGATCCATATAATTTGTTTAAAGAGATTAACCTGGAAGTTTTGTCTTCATGTTACTATCTTTGTGTTTCAGGAATACTTTATCTCTTACAAAGAGCATCATATGTTCTCATTGGCCTCATAATAACTTTGTGAGGTGAATGGATGCATAGAGAAGTTAAATCAGAGGTCATGGGCTATACATGGGCTCCTTGGACTGCTCATTTAGTTCCAACCACGTTGTCCTGCTGTTTCTCTGTTCCCGTACATTCCCTCCAGCCATTTACTTTTCTTCTCCTCCAACCTCCTCCCTGTCCTCCATATCCGGTTTTACCACTACAGCCAACCAATTCATGTTTACTGACTTGGATTGGTCATCTACAGTCTGGTTTGCTCTAATGGAGTATTTTAATGTGTGAACAAGGGTGTGTGTGTGTGTGTGTGTGTGTACATTTTCAGTCAGCTTTTAGTTCAGCAGAAACACGAACAGGAAAGTATAAAGATCATAAGTATTCAGCTCCATGGAGTTGGACAAAGTGAGCACCCCATGTAACTAACACCCAACTCAACAAACAGCATTAACAGCACCCAGAATCCCCAGGCTCCCCTCAGTCTCTGCTTCCTGACCTAGGTAACCATTATCATGGTTTCTAATACTACCAGTTAACTTAGCCTGCTTTTGGAACATTTTGCAAACAGAATCTTAGTATTTACCTTTCTTACCCGGCCTCTGTTTCAATATTACATTTCTGAGATTTGACTCTTACTGCATTTAGCAGGGGTTCATTCATTTTCATTGTATACCATATTACTTATCTGTTCTTATGTTGGTGGACATTTATATCTGACTATTGTGAAGAGTTTTCTGAAAAACATGTGTCTTTGGGGGAATATATGCTTCTATTCAGTATACACTGAGATTGGTTCTGCCACTTAGCTGTTTGGTTGGGAGTACACTGTAACTTCCGAAAGAAGGTTATTATGAGGACAAAGTGGAAAAAGTTTAGAACTTATTTCTAGTTTAAAGAGCAAAAAGGGCAGCTGCTTGTTCATATTTATGTTTTAGAAGCAAAGACTTTAGGCGAGAGCCTTTTGATAGGGTGATTCTGAGTGCTGTCAGGAGCATTGCTGATATGCCTTGGGAGTCTCCTGCAGAGGACTGTGGGCAAGCTTTTCTTTTTTCTTTAATGTTTATGTTGTTGGAGGGGAAGAGAGAGAGAGAAAGAGTTACAGAGAAAGGGGGGATAGAGAGAGAGAGGGGGAGAGAGAGACAGATATCTTCCATCCATTAGTTCACTCCCCAAATGACTGCAATGGCCTAGACTGGGCCAGACCAAAACTAGGAGCCAGGAGCTTCCTCTGGGTTTCCCACCTGGGTGAAAGGGCCCAAATACCCGGGTCATCTTCTACTTCTTTCCTAGGCACATTATCAGGGAGCTGGATTGGAAGTGGAACAGCTGAGACATGAACCAGCTCCCATATGGGATGCTGGTGCTGCAGGCGGACACTTAACCTATTACTCCACAGCTCTGGCCTGTCCCTGTATTTTTTTTTTTTTAAAGGTTTATCTTTATGGTCTTGAGTTCTTCATTATCAGATATTGCATTATACGAGTACTACAAAAAGGTCTTGGCAAACAGAATGAAAAGATAAGTTTGTTTTAGTACAAAAATGGTTGAAATCCATACATGTGAAGGGTCTTCAAGAAGTTTATGGAGGGATGGGTATTGTGGAGCAGTGGGTTAAGCTGCAACTTGGGACACCTCTATCCCATAATGGAGTGCCTGGGATCAAGTCCTGCCACTGCCTCTGTGTCTGACTGTGCTCCCTGCTAGTGTGCTTCGGCAGCAGCAGAAGTACCGAGTCCACACCTCCAACACGTTAGACCATGGGAGAGTTCCTGGCTCCTGTGTTCAGCCAGGAGAAATCTCTCTTCCTTTCCCTCTTTCTCTCGCTCTGTCACTCTTTTACTTTAAATAAAATATTTATTTATGTATTTGAAAGTTTATTTATCTATTTGCTTGAAAGGCAAAGTGCCAGAGAGAGAGAGAGAGAGAGAGAGAGAGAGAATCTTATATCTGCTGGTTTACTTCACAAAAGGCTGCAACTGCTGGAGTTGGGCCAATCTGAAGCCAATAGCCAGGAGCTTCTTCGAGATCTTCCTCATGGATGCAATCACTTGGGCCATACTCCGCTGCTTTCCCAAACACGTTAGCAGTGAGCTGGATTGGAAGTGAAGCAGCTGGTAATCAAACTGGTGCCCATATAGGATATCAGCGTCACAGGCAGACGTTTACACCACAGTGCTGGCCCTGATAAATAAACTTTTCAAAGAGTTGATGGAAAAAGGCTATGCATGAATTTAAAATTTATTTGTTTATTTCTAAAGATTTGTTTATTTATTTGAAAGTCAGAGTTACACAGAGAGAGGAGGAGAGGCAGAGAGAGAGGTCTTCTATCCGGTGGTTCACTCCTCAGATGGCTGCAATGGCCGGAGCTGTACCGATCCAAAGTCAGGAGCCAGGAGCTTCTTCTGGATCTCCCACATGGGTGCAGGGGCCCAAGGACTTGGGCCATCTTCTGCTTTCCCAGGACATAGCAGAGAGCTGGATCAGAAGTGGAGCAGCCGGGTCTCGAACTGGCAACCAATTGGGATTCTGGCACTGCAGGCGGCAGCTTTATCTGCTATGCCACAGTACCGGCCCCTCAAATTTTTTATTTTAAAGATGTGTTACTTGAAAGGCAGAGTTACAGAGAGAGAGAGTAAGAGAGAGAGGGAGAGACAGAGAAACAGATCTTCCATCTGCTGGTTCATTCCCCAAATGGTCACAATGGGCAGAGCTGGGCCAGTCCAAAGCCAGGAGCTTCTTCCAGTTCTCCCACATGGGTGTAGGGTCCCCGTGGAGCTGCTTGCCATGGCACATTAGCAGGGAGCTGGATCGGAAGTGGTGCAACTGGAACTTGAACCAGGGTCCATATAGGATGCTGGCACCCCAGATGGCGGCTTTACCCGCTATGCCACAGCGCTGGCCCCCGAAATTTTTTTCCACCAAAGTAAACTTGCATTTTTCCACATAATTTTGGAAGTAACCCTGATTTATCTAATGAATTTCTCTTCTCTCCCCATACGTTGATTTTTTTTCACATAATAAACAATCTATAAACGTTTGCAGAATGAAGTAAAGTCGTATTAAAACATGGGGCTCCCCCCATGGGAGACCAGGATAAGCACCTGGCTCCTGCCTTCAGATCAGTGCGGTGCGCCGGCCGCAGCGCGCCAGCCGTGGCGGCCATAGGAGGGTGAACCAACGGCAAAAGGAAGACCTTTCTCTCTGTCTCTCTCTCACTATCCACTCTGCCTGTCAAAAACAACAACAACAACAACAAAAACAAAACAAAACAAACAAACAAAAAAAAACAAAAAAAACCCAAAAACATGGGGCTCCAAAAGTGAATTATGCATAATGGGCTTAATTTTCTTCAGTATTTATTACTGTATGTTTTCATTCTTGTAAAAATCCATTAAGAGGATCACTTAATGGCAATATCCTAGGTAAATGTTTCTTGAATGAATAAACAATGAATTACCCTTCAAAAGTTGCATTTTCTTTCATTCTTTTCTTTCAGTAGATTTTTTAAAGTTTTCATTTAATGAATATATTTTTTCATAGATACAACTTTAGGAATATAGTGGGTCTTTCCCCCATACCCATCTGCCCACCCCAACTCCCATCCTACCTTCTTCTCCCTCTCCCATCCCCTTCTTGATTATGGTTCATTTTTAGTTTGATTTTATATACAGAGGACTGACTCCATGTTCAGCACAGATTTCAACAGTTTGTTTTGTCCCCCCCCCCACAACATATAGAGTACAGTTTGAGAACAAGATCTGCAGTTGATTCTCAAGTACAACTCATTAAGGATGGAGGTCCTACATGGGGAGTCAGTGCACAGTGTCTCCTGTTGTTGATTTAACAACTGACACTCTTATTTATGACGTCAGTGATCACCCGAGGCTCTTGCCATGGGCTGCCAAGGCTATGGAAGCCTTTTGTGACCACAGACTCCATCAGTAGATTATTTTTTTTAAGCTGTAAAAAAACATATGTCTATCACATAAAACTGTTTTTACTGTCTTTAATTGTGTAGTGCATTGGCATTCAGTACCTTCACATTATTTTACAACCATCACTGTCTTTTCCCCAGAAGTTTTCGAGTTTGCAGACTGTAAATAAAAGATTTTCATGACTCCATCTGTTCTCCCCTCCCACTTCCAGTGCCTTCAATGGCTGGGACTGGGCCAGTCCTGAGCCGGAAGCCAGGAACTCAGTCCAGGTTGCCCATGTGAGCGGCAGGTGTCCAGCTAGAACTGTCACCTGCTGCCTACCAAGGTGCACGTGAGCAGGAAGCTGGAGATGGGTGTGGAGCTGGGACTTGAACTCCAGGCATTTTTTTTTTCAATGGGAAAATTGCACTCGTTTGTTTCCATATTTGGGATACAATACCTTTTAACAGACTCGCTGGCAGACTAAACGCCTTTCCCTTTCGTCCGCTAGTGGAATGAAACCGTGGAGCTTTTCCGCGCCGGGATGCCGGTCCGGAAGCACCGCTGTCGCTTCAAGAGCTACGAGCGTTGCTTCACAGCAGCCGAAGCCGCGGACTGGCTGCACGAGCTGCTGAGGTGCAGTCAGAACTTCGGCCCGGAAGTGACTCGGAAACAAACGGTGCAGCTGCTCAAAAAATTCCTGAAGAATCACGTCATTGAAGACATCAAGGGGAGATGGGGCCAGGAAGACTTTGAAGACAATCGGCACCTCTACAGGTAACCATGGCGATGGGGTGAGCCCCGGAGGGAGGAAGCAGGTAGAATTAAGTGCAGCTGGTCAAGGTCTCTCTCTCTCTTTCTCTCTCTCTTTTTTAAGATTTATTTTATTTTATTTGAAAAAGAGAGAGAGAGAGAAAGAGAGATCTTCCAGCTGGTGGTTCACTCCCCAGATGACTGCAATGGCCAGAGCTGAGCAGATCTGAAGCCGGGAGCCAGGACCTTCTTCCAGGTATCCTACATGGGTGCTGCTTGCCCAGGTACATTGGCAGGGAGCTGGATCAGAAGTGGAGCAGCCAGGGCCTGAACCAGCACCCATAGGGGATGTTGGAACCGCAGGCAGCAGCTTTACCCGCTATGCCTCGGTGCCAGCCCCAAAGTCACGGTCTCTTGAGGCTTTCTGCTAGGAGAGAACTTACCTTGTCCACTGCACCACAGGCTCTGTTGGGCATTGGTTGAAGGTAGAACTGATTGTGTTGCCAAAATAAAAGCTGATTGCAATTTTCCCTGGGCTTTCGGGGCAGTGTCACGGCAGTGCTGTTTCCATCAGGACCTCCGTTCATGCCCTTGGTTCACCCAGGAGGATGACAGCAGTAACTTTGTCCTTCCAGGGAATTGGAACGCATGAGGCATTCCCAAGTAGCAAGGACTGTGGTGTCGGGGGCTTCGTGGCCGAGCACACCCCGTCTTTTAACCACTCAGCCCCAAATGAAGAACTGTGCTAGAATTCCCTGGAGTCTCAGATTAAGCCCGACTATCCAGTTTGCTTTTCCACATTTTTGTTCACATTTCAATGGTATTTATTTTTTATTTTTTAACTTTTATTTAATAAATATAAATTTCCAAAGTACAGCTTTTGGATTACAGTGGCTTTTCCCCCCATAACTTCCCTCCCACCTGCAACCCTCCCATCTCCCGCTCCCTCTCCCATCCCATTCATATCAAGATTCATTATCTTTATATACAGAAGATCAATTTAGTATATATTAAGTAAAGATTTCAACAGTTTGCACCCACAGAGAAACACAAAGTGTAAAGTACTGTTTGAGTACTAGTTATACCATTGATTCACATAGTACAACACATTAAGGACAGAGATCCTACATGAGGAGTAAGTGCACAGTGACTCCTGTTGTTGACTAAACAACTTGACACTCTTGTTTATGGTGTCAGTAATCACCCGAGGCTCTTGTCATGAGTTGCCAAGGCTATGGAAGCCTTTTGAGTTCATCAGCTCCAATCTTATTTAGACATGGTCATAGTCAAAGTGGAAGTTCTCTCCCTTCAGAGAAAGGTACCTCCTTCTTTGATGGCCCATTCTTTCCACTGGGATCTCACTCACAGAGATTTATTTATTTATTTATTTATTTTGCCACAGTGTCTTGGCTTTCCATGCCTGAGATACTCTCATGGGCTTGTTAGCTGGATCCGAATGCCTTAAGGGCTGATTCTGAGGCCAGAGTGCTGTTTAGGGCATTTGTCATTCTATGAATCTGCTGTGTATCCTGCTTCCCATGTTGGATAGTTCTCTCCTTCTTAATTCTATCAGTTAGTATTAGCAGACACTAGTCTTGTTTATGTGATCCCTTTGACTCTTAATCCTATCATTATGATCAATTATGAACTGAAACTGATCACTTTGACTAGTGAGGTGGCATTGTTACATGCCACCTTGATGGAATTGAATTGGAATCCCCAGGCACGTTTCTAACTCTACCGTTTGGGGCAAGTCTGATTGAGTATGTCGCAAACTGTACATCTCCTCCCTCTCTTATTCCCACTCTTATATTTAATAGAGATTGCTTTTCAGTTAAATTTAAACACCTAAGAATAATTGTGTGTTAATTAAAGAGTTCAACCAATAGTATTAAGTAGAACAAAAAAAAATACTAAAAGGGATAAAGTATTAAGTTGTTCATCAACAGTCAGGGCAAGGGCTGATCAAGTCACTGTTTTTCATAGTGTCCATTTCACTTCAACAGGTTTCCTTTTTGGTGCTCAGTTAGTTGTCACCAATCAGGGAGAACATATGATATTTGCCCCTTTGGGACTGGCTTATTTCACCCAGCATGATGTTTTCCAGATTCCTCCATTTTGTTGCAAATGACCGGATTTCGTTGTTTTTTACTGCTGTGTAGTATTCTATAGAGTACATATCCCACGGGCCGGGACAATGCTCTTTGGATGACGCCCTGTGTCTGTCTGCGTGTGCCCGTGTGTCCACGCCCGCTATGGCTTTACCGCATCCCGTGCCCTGGGCCCGAGGTGGGCGGGAGCCTGGGGGTCCCCCGCCCCCACGCCTTGCTGTGCCGAGGCTGCCTTGAGGGTCTCAGCAGTGGGCAGGTGCAGGTGCAGGTGTTTCCCGGGCTGGGGCGGGCCCCGGGTGATTGAAGCCCCCCGAACCCCCGTGATGTGTCTGAGCCGCCGCTGCGCGTGGCTCGGGGATCAGGGCTCTCCCACACCTGAGCCTGGGCATCCCCACACAAGTCAGAGATAGCGCAGGGGCTCAGGGGCGGCTCGTGTGGCTTCTCCCTCGCCACTGGCCAGGGGCAGGGGTGGTCCCGTGCGTCAGCAGGCTGCGGTCTTAGCAGCCGGGAGCCTCAGCCAGGCCGTGGAGTGGTGTCGTGGAAGAGGAGCGTCTGAGGGCAGCCTCAGCCAGAGAGGGCCCTGTAGATGCTGCTGCCTGCCCCGCACCCCTCTGAGACCCCCGCCCACCCAGCCCATGCATGGTGTTGGAGGTTAGACCCAACTATGCATGAGACGCCCCCCTCCCCCCACCACTGGAGCTGGCTGCAAATAAAAGCCGCATTTACAAAAAAAAAAAAAAAAAAATGATGGGCATTTTTAGGTTGATTCCATGTCTTAGCTATTGTGAATTGGGCTGCAATAAACATTAAGGTGCAGACAGCTTTTTTATTTGCCAATTTAATTTCCTTTCGGTAAATTCCAAGGAGTGGGGTGGCTGGGTTGTATGGTAGGGTTATATTCAGGTTTCTGAGGAATCTCCAGACAGACTTCCATAGTGGCTTTACCAGTTTGCATTCCCACCAACAGTGGGTTAGTGTCCCTTTTTTCCTACATCCTCACCAGCATCTGTTGTTGGTAGATTTCTGAATGTGAGCCATTCTAACCGGGGTGAGGTGGAACCTCATTGTGGTTTTGATTTGCATTTCTCTGATTGCTAATGACCTTGAACATTTTTTCATGTGCCTGTTGTTCCTCTTTTGAAAAATGTCTATTGAGGCCTTGCGGCGCCGGCACACCGGGTTCTAGTCCCAGTCGGGGTGCCGGATTCTGTCCCAGTTGCCCCTCTTCCAGGCCAGCTCTCTGCTGTGCCCAGGGAGTGCAGTGGAGGATGGCCCAAGTGCTTGGGCCCTGCACCCCATGGGAGACCAGGAGAAGTACCTGGCTCCTGCCATCAGATCAGCACGGTGCGCCGGCCACAGTGGCCATTGGAGGGTGAACCAACGGCAAAAAGGAAGACCTTTCTCTCTGACTCTCTCTCTCACAGTCCACTCTGCCTGTCAAAAAAAAAAAAAAAAAAAAAAATGTCTATTGAGGTCTTTGGCCCATCTCTTTAGTGAGTTGTTTGTTTTGTTGTTGTGGAGTTTCTTGATCTCTTTGTAGATTCTGGTTATTAATCCTTTATCTGCTGCATAGTTTGCAAATATTTTTTCCCATTCTGTGGTTGCCTCTTCACTTTCCTGTTTCTTTTGCAGTACAGAAACTTCTCAATTTGATGCAATCCCAAATGTTCATTTTGGCTTTGACTGCCTGTGCCTCCAGGGTCTTTTCCAAGAAGTCTTTGCCTGTGCCTATATCTTGCATGGTTTCTCCAATGTTCTCTAATAATTTGATGGTGTTGGGTCATAGATTTAAATCTGTAATCCATGTTGAGTGGATTTTTGTGTAAGGTGTAAGGTAGGGGTCTTGCTTCATGCTTCTGCACGTGGAAATCCAGTTTTCCCAGCACCACTTATTGAATAGACTGTCCTTGCTCCAGGAATTGGTTTTAGATCCTTGATCAAATATAAGTTGGCTGTAGATGTTTGGATTGATTTCTGGTGTTTCTATTCTGTTCCATTGGTCTATCCATCTGTTTCTGTACCAGTACCATGCTGTTTTGATTACAACTGCCCTGTAGTATGTCCTGAAGTCTGGTATTGTGATGCCTCTGGCTTTGTTTTTGTTTTACAAGATTGCTTTAGCTATTCGAGGTCTCCTGTGCCTCCATATGAATTTCAGCATCATTTTTTTGAGATCTGAGAAGAATGTCTTTGGTATTTTGATTGGTATTGCATTGAATCTATAAATTGCTTTTGGGAGAATGGACATTTTGATGATTCAATGGTATTTATTAATGTGGACACTCACTTCCTGAGAATCCCAGGGGCAGTGGAGATTGATCTCTCTGTCTCTATCTCTCTCTCACTAACTCTGCCTGGCCAAAAAAAGAAAAAAAATACACAGGGACAAAAGTCATCCATTAAGTGACCCCCCCACCCCTTTTTTCTAGTGGAATACTTGTGAATAAAGGGAGCAATGTTTTCTTTTCATTATTTACCACCTGAAAATTTGCTTCTGTTTTCCCAAGTGCAAGTTCCAGAAGTTAACCCCTGACTTTTGTCTATTAGCTAGATTAATCTGGGATGAGATCTCTTTAGACTTATAAATCATTTGTCAAGGTGCCTGTGCCTTGAATTGAGAGAGCGCTAATGAGCAGGCAGCTAGCTATTTTCCCTGCACAAGCTTTGGTCAGGGACGCTCAGGATGGTGAATGTTGTGTGCCAATGCTCTTGGACAGAGCCCTGTGCCACCCCACAGCTGCACCTATTACATGGAGAGTCCTACTGATGGGTTATCATGAGAGCTGGGGAGAGCGATTGTGAGCTAGTGACATGTTCGATTTGAAAGCACATGAGCAAGTCAATGAGGTGGCAGATTTAGGCATGTTTTCTAAACATCAGGCTTTGTAGAAGAGGAGCCTTTGCAGCCTGAAA